GGAAATTCTTCCTTAAACGGCCTTCCTGCCAATCTTTCGCCCTGAAATACTGTTATATCGGCTTTGGGGTGCGCGGAATAAACGGTTACATAAAGTTTTCGATTGGCGCGTGGCGTAACCACCCCTGTCCGAGGGATGGTCGCCCATCCTGCCCGGGGATACACATATGTGCACTTGTTCGCCCGTAACGGACGATCTACCCTCGTCCGGACGCTGTATTATATCGCGGACGATATTATAGTACTATTGTATTTAAAGCGACGACCATTTCACGAATCAGACCGTGCTCCAGTTAATGAACTTCCTACGAGAGGATAATTGACGGAATGCTCGCTATGTATGTACTATAAATTTGCTTCTATATCTATCTACTGAAATTGCTCGTGTCTTTAGAATTCTTACTACAATACCTATAGAAAAATATCATTCGATTGCTAAGTGATTACTCGATTTACTTTTTTCTTTTAATTAATGGTTATCTTTAACAAAAAATATTTTCTTGGTAATAATCTTAAAATATACTTATTAGAAATTTTAGAAGAAAAATTGTGCACTCAAGACAAGAATTTTTTTTTTCGGAATTATAACATTTTTTTTCGGTCTGTATAGTATTGTACACATCACACATTCTCTCTCTCTCTCTCTCTCTCTCTCTCTCTCTCTCAATAAATTTTACTTTTATTTTAATTAAAATTATATGCTCTCTTGATGCTCTCAAAATTTTTGTGGTTTGCGACACTGTTTTTATACTCATTGTTATTTTGTGTTCTCATTATTTTCTAAAAAATCTTGTCAATTTATAACACCGTTTTTCAAACTTACTGTTATTGTCTCTCTCGTCATTGAACTTATCGGATTAATAATGTAAATTTATATATCACGAAATATATTCAAGGTTTTTAGAGGGCTTGCCCTTGAATCAAAATAAAGGCTCTCTCTCTCTCTCTCTCTCTCTCTCTCTCATCTTTCTCTTTCTCTTCTGCGTATATCTGCGTATATCTAATACCGAGATTGATATTAAATATTTGGAAAGAATGGTTTTAGTATCTACAAATTTAACTAAATACATATCTAAAGATAATGTTGGGTTACCAAAATAATTATGTAAGACATTCAAGCTGGTTGCTAGAATCTCAAAATTGTTTGCAGTACTGCTTATCATATTTGAGTTTTCTACATAATCATTTTGGTCCAACAGAATTATTTTCAGATCAGTATCAACCAAAGCTTTTAGACGCTTGAGCAAAATCTTTCTGTGTTCAGTTTGAAGCTCTCTAATAACGATCTTTTATTCCGCGTAATTTTATCATGAACGCAATTAGCGTTCGGTTCTCCCGAAGGTGTCGGCTAAGAGATGGTAAGAAGAACGGGGGAAAGTTCGATCGCGTCTGGATGCGATACGTGTCGGTCGCAAGAGCGGTTCGTAGTGCCGGATGCACGTAGCTTGACGGAGGAGAGAGCCCTACGTGCCTGCCGATGCAACCTCACCCCAAGGGTGAGGGTTAACTCCCCCCCGACACGAGAGAGCTCAATATATATTAAGATCCGCGAACCCCTCGGACTAAAAGTTCGTAACGTTCCCCTTCCTGCTCATGGAAGACTTCCTACGGACTCTCGCTAACCTCCCCATCCGACAGCTACGCTGTCGGAATTGCGATTATGGTGGCGATATTACTAGCGTAAGGGCAGTGCCCCATCCGCCAGGGTGGCGGTATCCTACATCCACGTCTCTGTCTCTAGTTTTCCTCTTTTTCCGCTCATCTCGCTAGCGCATTCTGAGCTTATTGACTTTACTTCTAAGCCATCGACTCCTATCTATTTATTTGCCACGGTTTGATCTGAGAGAAAGAAGCCGTGGGCGACAAACGGTTCTTTTCCTTAGGATACCTAGTGAAAGCACCACGGGGTAGCTTTCAGGTAATTTTGGCTGTCCCAACCACATTACTCTCAAAGTGTATCTTTTGTCAGCGTTGCTTTTTCTCCAGCAAATCATAAATGTCTAACCATAAAAAAAACCAGGACAAATAGGTAGTTATAGTTAATGAGACTTCGACCGGACAAGGGTATTTGCTGATTTTAACAACAAAAAGTTACGGTGCACAAAATAGAGATTCAGGGATTTTATTTCCATGTGAGGATGCGTGTAAAAAATAACAAATGGAATGTCAGCTAGGTTTCAATACAATTTTGTGATTCATCATCCCGTCGCTATCCTTAAAAGGCATAAAAACTGAGGAAAACCACGTTGGTGGTTTGCACGTGCCACCTCTCGCTCCGTGCTTTCTCCGCCAATGCAGAAAATAGCGAGACACGTCTACCTACTACAAGACGGCGAGGCGAGGGCGATCGATACTCGACCACAAAGACGCTAACCACGGCATAGTTTTCATCGACATCGAACGGTCATCAGTCGATCGTACGATACGCAAATGTACAATCTACCGGTCATATTTAATGCAACCGCGGGTAACTATACGTTCTAGAAAAAAAACTATCGTATATATGCTATTCTACTAATCCAAATGATATTTTCACATTAAGCCATTACGTTATACCTTCAATCTTCACTCTGGAAAAACTTGATATAGTACTCTAAAAAAAGAATATTCTACTTAAACCAACAAAAGAGTTCAATAAGAAATGACATTTTTGTGAGGACAAATAGAATTTCTGGTTACGATAGCCATTTTGTTGGTGTAATCAGAATATGTTTCTCGGTGTTGTACAATTTACTATACAGCAGAAAACATTTTGTATTTGTGTTAGAAATAGTCTACTATCCTTGTTAAAATTTTGTGTTGAATTTTTAATATATCTGAGTGTTAATTTAAAATAACGTAATTGTGTTATTTGAATATTTTGTGTTAAATTGATATTTAGCATTTCTTAGTTGATATTCAGCATGTCTTAGTATTAACAATATAATTTATGAATACGTGAACAAGTAACAAAAATGTTTTAAATGTAAATTTTAAAATAAATGAATAAAATGTGTTAATTTAATATATTATAAATATTGAATTTATTGAAACATGTTGATTTAACATATTATAAATGTTTATTTTAATGAAAAAATATGACTTTTTACAAATTGTATCATTGTTACGTTTTTTATGTTAACTTTTTACATAATATTTAAATTTACGTCTTGCGTTAAATAAACACAAAAATTTGAGCGAACCGTTTGGGATATATGAAATGTGTAACATTCACACAAATTTTCCAACTGAGTAAGCACATGAAAAATTGCAAGATCTATTATAATCTTTTTCTACATTACAAATCTTGCTTGTGACGTAAATCTTAACTAAGTGGCGATCTTCCATAAAGCTAGAACGAAAAAAATGTCTCCGTCTCGGATGTGTCCGTGCACACAGGGGCTGACGGGAACCGATATCGTGGGATTGCAATGAAATATAATGCAGTGGCTAATCGCCTTTTCTTCCAATTCCGGTGAGTAATTTCACGGGACGGTCACGCCAGTGGGAAATCCGTCTCGCCGAAAAATCGACGCGGTGTATTAAAACGAGGACGACTCTCTCAGTGCGATCCAATTAAATGCCGCGCGGCGTTAACGACACCGTGTTTCTTCGTCTTTTCCTCGGAGTTTGCAGCGAGGTTGAAAGCGGCAGGTATAGACACAGCCACGGAGGGCTCTGCAAAAGGAAGGATGAATTTTACCGTCCTTAATGAAATTTCTCAGACGATAAAGAACCTCCGGCGAAGGCGTCGAAATAAATACGTGACGGTGATAGTGGCGCGTTTTCTTATTTCTGTAATAATCCCCAAGGAGAAACATTTACAATATCGATTAACAGGAAAATTGTAGAATATTTTAAAACGTAACAAGTTTGAATTTTCATTCTCGATTCGTGTATAAAACGCGATAGTATCCATTAATCCAATTACATCTCTGTGATAGTATTCTATCGTAAAAGAGCGCACCGTATGCTTACTTTAAAAGCGGCACGAATCCAGTTTCGCAAACCCCGCTAAAAACTATTAATTGCGATCGGAGGCGTGCGAAGGGTACCGGATCGTAATTCGATGCGCGGACGACGGCGAATTGCGGGACTGCACCTCCGTGGTTCCCGGCTACTGGTACTCTCGGACCGCTGAAAAAGCTTTTTTTCGCCGGCAGCGCTTTAATGAAATTTTTTCGACCTCGTCATCGTCCCCGTAATAATCTCCCTTTTGCGACCGGGTAGCCGGCGCGGTCTGAATTTATTGCAGCCCGCCTGCCGGAAACACGTCCGTGAGGAAATCTTCTGGATAAGAGGCTCACGAGCTCTACCTCAGTCTACCATTTTTTGTCACTCCTTACCTGCCGAGTCTTTCCTGGTCCGAATATGAAATACGCGGGAGCGGAGAGACGCGTAAAAAAAGAGCGGCAAAGAGAGGAGAGTGGCTTTGGAACGAGGGAGAGAGAACGAAGGAAAGAGAAAGAGAAGGAGGGGGGGGGAGAGAGAGAGAGAGAGAGAGAGAGAGAGAGAGAGAGAGAGAGGAGTTCCGGTGACGGCGAGGATGACGACGATGGATCCTTCTTGCCCTGGTCGGAACTTTTTGCGGTCGCTCTTGGGACGAGCCCGAGAGCCAAGGGGGGCAATAAAACTAATGGTAACGCGCGCCGGTAATTCCTTGCGGTCTGTTTGTCGCAAGTCGACGACCTGGCCTCTCCGCCTCGTCATTTACCGAGGGAGGATTCTACGGCCAATGTCGGCCGACCGACGACAATGACGACGGCGGGTGGTGCTTTCTCGCTTTCGTCGCGGTTGGTGGTAACACGTAGAATTGGGTTAGCATCGCGGATTTTAAGTGCCGGATGCCTTCCTGCATCGAAATGCGATCGCTTTCCCGATACTTTCGAAGGAGGGTTTCCACTTTCAACCATTGTCCACGCTGGTCTCATTAATTTCAACCAAGAACTAGAATAGAAAAAAATGGGTTTCTCATAAAATACATATTAACGTAATGTTCTTTCTTTTCAATCTGTTTTGCAGTGGGTAGAAGAGTCTTTTACAAACTTCGACAAAGGTATCAACTGGCGGAGTTACGTTGTCTGCGACGTAGCGTACTCCAATGTGAACAACTGGCTGTGGACGCCGTTCATAGAGAGGGGTCCAGCGAATCGCATGTACATAGAAATCAATTTCACAACTCGCGACTGTTCGTTGTTTCCCGGCAACGCTCTCAGTTGTAAGGAGACTTTCAGTCTACTCTATTATGAGTTCGATGCCGCGACCAAGGAACCACCCCCGTGGGAGCCGGACAGCTATAAACTTATAGGTAAGCGATGATAACACAAAGCATGACAATTAAAAGATTTACCTCGAAAATAGGATAATAATATTATTTTGAGAATAACAAATTTAATAGAATTTGCAAAGGATAAAGAATATTTTTTGAAAAAATTTTAAAACATAACAAATTAAAATTTTACTTAATTAATAGATAAATTAACCATAATACAGATTAAGTAACCCTATAATAAAAAGTTTGCTGTTTCTCGAAACTATTCCTGATGAAAGAATTAAAATTTATGTTTTCGGCGGAGAGAGTTACTAGGTTCTTTTTTTTCATGCAGCTGTTTTCAACTAAACTCGTCGCTCTCAATATTTAGGACGGCTTTATATGTCAATTTTATGTACTTGCAGGTCGTATAGCTGCGGGCGAAGGTAGGTTCAACACGAACACCGAGGTAGTGATAAACACCGAAGTGAAGTCGATTCCGGTGACGAAGAAGGGCGTCTACTTCGCCTTTCGTGACCAGGGCGCTTGCATATCGATCCTGGCCATCAAGGTATACTACATCAGTTGCCCTGAGATTTCGGTGAACTTCGCACATTTTCCGGCCACACCAACCGGTCGCGAGGTTGCGCTTATTGAGCAAACGCGCGGCATTTGCGTTGCGAATGCCGTCAAAATCGCCCAGCCGACTTTCCTCTGCAAGGGAGATGGCAAATGGTATCTCCCGACGGGCGGATGCCATTGCAAACCTGGCTACCAAGCTGACACGGACAAGCAGGAGTGCAAGGAGTGTCCGATAGGCAAGTTCAAGCATGAGGCGGGTTCTCATGCCTGCGAGCCATGCCCGGAGCACAGCAAAGCTTCCGATTACGGCTTCACGGAGTGTCGTTGCGATCCGGGCTATTTTCGGGCAGAAAAAGATCCTAAGAAGATGCCTTGCACACGTGAGTATTAAATTGAATTAACAATTTTTACAAAAAAAAAGCTTGTGTCATTTTAAAATTTAGAAAAATAATCGTTCAAATAATCCCAAAAATCTAGGAGTTTCAAAAAACATCTGAAATATTAAATTAAGTTCCTTGAGTATTTTCATTAAAATATTAACTTCTATAATTTATACTTGCGTTATATTGTTTGATATAATATTCGTGAGTTGCGATATACTGTAGTCAAAGAAAAAGTTTTGCGTACATGGAAGATGGAAAGAATTTGGAGGTCGGCGTTCCGCGAAAATCTTCAAGACTATATGCTTTTTTGCAGAACCACCTTCGGCGCCGCAAAACCTGACCGTCAACTTTGTCGATCAGTCCACGGTGATCCTTTCCTGGAATGCACCGCATATGCAGGGTGGCAGGTCTGACACGACTTATAGAGTGGACTGCGATTCCTGCAGCATGGGCGTTAAATACATTCCTAATACCGTGAGTTTTCGTCAAAATCGTATATTTATACGCGAGTATATCGATTGCGCGATAGTTGAATTATTCCTCGATCAAAAAGTTGACGCGCGTATTCGCTTCGATTTTGTAACAGGAGATCTTCAACGACACGAAGATCACGATAACCGGTCTGAACGCGGTGACTACTTATCGCTTCCAAGTGTTCGCCGAGAACGGCGTATCGTCGTTGGTCGGCAAATCGGAATACGTGGACATTACCGTTACGACAGAGGCGAGCGTGCCAAGTCTAGTGAGCAACGTCAGGATCACAAGTGTCAAGAGCTCAGAGCTCAGCATCAGTTGGGACGCGCCAGATATCGGAACTGGCGGAGACAACGATCTCGTCGAGCGATATGAAGGTAAAAGTCATAATAACAATATGTTGCTATGCCATTGTACGGCGAGATCAATTCTAAATTGTCATTCGATCGCATTGTGGCGGCGGAGGGATTAATAATCTCGATATCTGATACAGTGAGGTGTTACCCGCGCTACGACGACGCCACTAATGCAACCGTCATTCAAACGTCCGAGCTGTCTGCCACGTTCAAAGGTCTCAAGCCTTCCACGGATTACGCGATACAGGTTCGCGCCAAGACCACCCGCGGCTGGGGCGAATACACGCCGGTGATATTTAAAAAGACACCCCACGCGATGGGTTTAGGTAAGCGCGTTCAGCGGCATTTAGATTCACATTTCGCAATCTCCTTCGTACCGCGCCTTTAACAGAAATGTTTCATGCAGACTACGTTGGCGAGGACGACAACATGCAAGTTAGAATAATCGCAGGGGCGATCGTTGCTGTGGTCGTACTTCTCGTGATTATTATCATCATGACCGTTTTAATTCTTAGAAGGTAATTGAATCATTTTCTATATTTGAAATATGTATATGTCTCAAGTGTGTTGCTAACTATCGTATACTAACGCACGAAAAGTCACTTCTTTCCAATTGCTTTGCTCAATTCGGCTGATATACGATTTCGTTGCAGCAGGGCCTCGGACGAATGCAACAAGAAACAGCCGAGCGACTGCGACACCTTGGAATACAGAAACGGCGAAGGTACGTTTGCATTTTGCTCGAAATTTCTCTTTTTAAAAATTTATTATCGCTATTACCCGCCCCGCCCCCACAACCCTGTCACTTTCATAGTTGTTTCACTATGCCCTCGTGTCTTGTGACTAACTTTGGAATCACTGGCCCCCCTTAGATCCAGCAAGTGTCGAAACTATACCCCGTATACAAACAGACCCACGATAATACGTTAAACACCCCCCTCAATACTGTAGAGATTTTTTTGCGGATGAGAGTGAGAGAAAGAGAGATAGCTGAACAATTAACACCATAGAGAAAATGAGCGAAGAGAAAGCAGTCGGGCTCTGAAATACGTCCGCGACAGGGACTTAAAGAGAAACGATCGCTTTCCAACCAAAATTCACATCGATCTGGCCCATTGCCTGAGTGCGATTATTCTAACCAAATTCTTTCGATTCTTTCTTTTCATGTGCGATTCCCCTAATCTATCGAACCTGCCTCCATGAAAAATCCATGAAAAAATCCAATGAAACAATGTACACAATCGCCTGCTACTACAGGACTAGTTGTGACCTACAGTAAGTCTTCTCCAAACACCTCAAGTTTTGTTTTTTAGGAACTCAATTTTGTGTAGATTATTTTTGCAACCCCTGTACATGCATTACACTCTCAATCTAAGTCAGACTTTACGCTTTTGCATATACACACATCACACACGCACCAACAAACACACGTATACAACAATTATGCACGATACCTAATTTTCTTAGATACACATTATGCGTGTTCGCGTATGTGCGCATTGTGCTTGCGTATGTTTGTTATGTTGCATTGCTCACGTTTCAATTGCATGCGTATTTTCCAGTGTGTCGATGTTAATATCGTATGTGCTTTTTATATCTGGATTTGATTCGTGAAACCGGGAAGAACATAAAAGATGAAAAGAAAATACAGAGATACGCTTAAAAGAGTGCATTTTTAATCAGCGCGTTATGTGGATATTCTAATAATTTTTACTTGGATTTGATTACATATTTTCACAATAGTCTCATCCGTGATCAAGATATTTCAATTACCATTTCTCGCTTTACGTCATTTAAAAAAAAAATTCATCATCGTACACTTGCCGCTTCTTTTTGTTTTGCTGTTTGTCAATTAGTGTGTTGGTTGTTGTGTTGTTCACAGTGCACTGCAAAATGGACAGTTCACCGATTGTGACAACCCATACCAACAACAAGAGCAAGTCCTCGCGTAAGTCCTTTGTTTCCCAAATTAATCTCCGGCCAAAATTTTCGTGACTGAAAGAAAAACAGAAACGCCGGACATGTCCGCACGATATATTAAAGGCATAACCGAACGCACCGACACTCGTACACTCACTCCGAGTTCTCCACGATTATTATAGTTTAGCTTTAGTTACGCTACACTCCGTTCTGTTCTTTCTTCACTGTCCTAGATATGCGATATGGATGAAAAGTTTGGAAGTAATAAAAGCATGCTGCAGCCCCGTGTTTCGCACGCAATTGCATCATGTTCTTGCATCCAATTTTTTAAATCTTATTTTTCATTTTTCTTCAAGCGATCGTGCTTTGCGATCGCCTTTCTTCTTACCATGATATATGCAAAATACTTGGATGTTCCGAGACGGCTCAAATAGAAATTAAATTGGTGTGAACAAAGAAGATAATAAAAATCAACGAGAGGAAGACTGTTTGAATCGTTCGAAGCATCCCGGACGAGCGGTGTAAAAAATCGCTGAGTTTTCCGGATATATCGTAATAATCTTCAAAATAATTTAGCATGCAAAAATTGTACATTTTGACTATGCGCGAATTTTTAGCATACATAGACACCGCCGTTTGACATTAAACACACCAGATTCTAAGCTAGATAAACACATACAAGTAAAAAAAAAGACTCTTTCACTAAAGTGGGACTGAAAAAGAGAAGAGACATATTTTAGAATCCACCTGCGTTTGGCTTTCTTGGTTGTGTCTTGTTTTTTGGAAATTTTAAACTCGCTGACGAGAGAGAATGTGTGAGTGTTTCTTTTTTGCGGGATTTGACACGGTTGGCCGAGCGATAGAGCGAATGTTGGGACGCGCGGTCTAGAGTTCTGTCAAAATTTCGCACCACCGGCCCTCGTGTTAATATAATGAACTCTGTTTTCGTGACGTTGCAGTGACCACGCCGCTGTTCACACCTGCAGTGGGGGTCGCCGCGGCGGGCGCAGGCGGCGCAGGCGGTGCAGGTGCAAGGAGTTATGTCGATCCTCACACCTACGAGGACCCGAATCAGGCGGTACGCGAATTTGCCCGAGAGATAGACGCCGGATATATCACGATAGAAGCCATTATAGGTGCGATTTTGTACATTATTATATGGTATCACGAACGGTTATCAAATAAGATAATTATAGTAATTTGATTATATTTTGGACGATTTTTTTTGCGACCACAGGTGGCGGAGAGTTCGGCGATGTCTGCCGAGGGAAATTGAAATTGCCTCCCGACGGACGGACAGAAATAGATGTGGCCATAAAGACCCTGAAACCAGGCTCCGCAGACAAGGCTCGTAATGATTTCCTGACAGAGGCGTCGATAATGGGCCAATTTGAACACCCCAACGTGATATTCCTGCAAGGCGTGGTGACGAAGAGCAATCCGGTGATGATCATCACGGAGTTCATGGAAAACGGTAGCCTGGACACTTTCTTGCGCGCGAACGACGGCAAGTTCCAAGTGCTCCAGCTGGTGGGCATGCTGCGTGGCATCGCCAGCGGCATGCAGTATCTCGCGGAGATGAACTACGTGCACCGCGATCTCGCCGCGAGAAACGTGTTAGTCAATGCCGCTTTGGTTTGCAAGATCGCCGATTTTGGGCTCAGTAGAGAGATCGAGAGTGCCACAGAGGGGGCTTACACGACCAGGGTGAGCAGATTTAAGTTGCGGAATCAAAATTAATATAACCCAATGACTTATAAGGCTCGAATATATATTTATAATTTCTTGCTCGATTAATCTACCATTTATATTCAGGGCGGTAAAATTCCGGTACGGTGGACAGCACCGGAGGCGATAGCGTTCCGTAAATTCACGAGCGCCTCCGACGTTTGGAGTATGGGTATCGTATGTTGGGAGGTGATGTCGTACGGCGAGAGGCCGTACTGGAACTGGTCGAATCAAGATGTGATAAAATCGATCGAGAAAGGCTACAGGCTTCCAGCGCCGATGGATTGTCCGGAGGCTATCTACCAGTTGATGCTCGATTGCTGGCAGAAGGAACGCACCCATCGGCCGACCTTCTCCAATCTCACACAGACTTTGGACAAGCTCATACGAAGTCCGGACACACTGAGAAAAATCGCTCAGAACAGGTAAAAGCGCTCATTTGTCACTGTAATCGCCAAGTACCGATACGTGATAGGAAACGATCTTTTTAGGATATGTTAATCACGAAAATAATATTAGGAAATTCATTTCATGAATTAAACGTTTAGCAATGTAATTGTTATCATACAATGTAAATCAAGGAAATATGACGGAATGTGTATAATCGGCATACAACGAATGAAATTTGCTTCAAGCGCACGTTCGTAAATAGTTATCATTGTTTCATTGACATTATCTCGTTCTTTTTCCTTTCATTTATCTCCCATTGAGTCGCTCGTTCATTAATATCTTAATAAGAATCACGCCGCATGCTACGTGACTTATATATCGTGTCCATAAATTAATTTCTCTCGACAGCTAATAATTATTTTCATTCATTTGCCGAAACACTCACGCGTGGATCATGCTACATCCGTTTCACGCCACTTAGAATGGGATTTGGCATTGTGGCTCATTGATGTATGACGTCCCGCACAAGCCTACAATCGTATACACATATATAATATGCATATGTATTCAGAAGGAAGGCCAATGTCTGCATACTCGCATACGTATTCGCGCCATCGTGACACTTCGACCTGATTGGCATTACTGGAAGCAGGCTACACATACTGGACTGCGTTATACGCACTTGCTTTTTATATTCGTGCTTTTTCTGATTTTTTTTCTTTTTTTTTTTTTTTAATTAGTTCTCTCGGCATATCCCCTAAGTAACAGTCCTCAAAATTTTCTACTGCGTCTATGTCATTTTGACATTCATTTTCCGACACGCACGAGAAAGGAAGAGAGCAAAATAATTGTTAGATTTGCCTCGAAAATTCGAATATCTCTTCCTTCACATTATAGTACACACTTCGCATCTCTCTTCGCTATTTTAATATCAAAGAGTCACATCTTGTGAACGGTATTGCTTTATGCTTCAAAATACATTTGGCCGAGCGAGGTTTCCAGAGTTAGTTGACGGGAAAATTAATTTATGGACGAAAGTCTACGTCGTCTGCGTACTTTTATCGTGTTTCGGGAACTTAGTCGAGACCATGCATTATGCGACGACTTCAACAGAGCTTCCAATTGCTTTTGCCGCTTATCATTTCTACACTTCTTGAGTCTATTGTTCGCATTTCAATTATTCTTTACAAGATGCAGCTATGTTTAACAGGGGGCTAATTTTGTGTTGCTTTTCTCTTTCACTGGTTTCGATAAAATTGAGTTTTGCTGCAATCGAGTAGTATATAAAATATCTACGAGATAAAAATTCGTTTATATAGCAAGTTATCTAACTGTAATTTTATGTTTCCTACAAGAAACTTGTAATCGCAACGAAATGGGTAAGCCTCCTCCCTCAGATTCTCCGAATATTCCATTGGCATGAAAGAAAACATTATATCATTTTATTACATTATTATTTCATGTATCTTTTGTTCGCGGAGCGACTTATCGGTTCGCGTTTTATCTCTATGCCAATGGGACGCAATATAAAATTCGCATTTGGAAATCTCGTTGGTTTCTCTCCTGTTCCTTCGTTTCGCCTCTTTTTTCCCCCTGGGCTAATTCTTTGTGCTTTTGGTTTTGTGGTGTCCTTTGGTACCTGACTACGAACTACTGCAACTGCAACGCAACTGCGACAACTATCGTCCACGACAACAACAACCATCGCCTACAGCGTGAGGCCGCCTGCACACAATCCGTACTATGTCACAAGCCATACAGCTGCCGCCCAGGCTGCGGCGGCTGCGATGCCCCCAGGCCCAGCCGCGAGCACGGCGAGCCCGTTCGTAGACATAGTCGGCCATCAGGCCCATCAACAAGCCCAGTCAGCGATTGCCGTTCCAGTAATGCCACCAGGAGCCGGCCGTAGCTTACACTATCACACACATGCAGCAACACACGCAGCAACACACGCATTGCCACACCAACAATCACCGCTCACCTATCCCAACTGGGTTCCGTTCTCTCATTTCGGCTGAGAATGGTTACACTTGAATTAAAACGAGCAAGAGCATCACCATCATCATTATCATCATTTCCGCCCGTCTTTCTAGCCATCAGAATTAACGCCTGGCGTTTAAACCGGACGTAATCTCAAAAGACTGCATTCTATATCGTTACGATTCGCATTATCTTTTATAATCGCGCTAGTCGTAGAGAAATCATAGGCGCTCTTCCAGCGAAATAGTAAAAAAAAAGTATAATCCAAATCGTGTCAGATGGAATAGTACATGTGACGAAAATAGTAGAGGTATAATACAGCCGATAATACATTATCGGAGTGTGCTATAAACTGTATGTACAAGAGTAGTACCGTCGTAAAAGAATCTCTTCTCCAGTCTTTTTACTACGAATTATCGATAAATGCGAGGATGTAGCTATAGATATACATGTTAGACGATACAGAGAATTTCTCCATGTTGAACTAAGCAATAAACTTTACCATACAGAGTTAGAGCGTATATTATCGATTAAAATTGTACCGAGATATAAATAGAAAGTTTAAGAGTGTTTCCAAATTTTATGAAGGATAAATTCAACCATCGAATAGCAATATAGATTTAAACGCGAGCTTAGAGAATAAAAGGCAAATAAACGTGGTGTGCATAAAAGCAACTAGAGTCTTTAAAGTGTTCTCATAATTCTATATTAATCATCATAGCTTTCATTGATATACGCATAAAGAAAAAAAAAGAAAGAAAAAATGCATATGCACGTACACACAAAATCACACGCATACATTTACAGAGGGTGTCCCAAAACTAACGCCATTTCTTTCGACTGCGAATTCTTTAATCAGTTCGGACTCGATAAGATAAAGTTTTCTATGGGGAAAAATTCGCCTATATATAACAAATTGCTCAAAAGAACAGCCATAGTCTTACGACACCCCATACATCATACATTAAATCGATATAAGTACTTATCGTGTAATTTATTAAAACTATCGATTTTATCTTAGCGAAAGATTTATTAACATATATATGTACAGCACGCGTGCAACCGGTTGACCATTTTAGAATAGTATTTTTATACGTAATATATTAAATGAAAAACAATATAATTAACAATTAACGGTGTTAGATCATATTTCTGCATCCATGAATCATCAAGAAATATTGTAATCATAACATTAATTTCTAAACTATTTCTACAGAGTATAATGAAACAACGCCATTCTAAGAGAAATGATTAATTCATTGATTACAAAATTTGCTATTAGGCTATTTCTCTTTACGTCCTCTGAAAATATTACAATAAAAACTTGTCGCAGCATTTATAGGCCGGAGGTGAGGCATTTATCCAATGATAGGAATAAATAGAAATAAAAGTGATTTGTCGAATTTTTCATAATCATGTTGAAATATCGATCACGCTAAATTCGTCTTTTTTTTTGTATTTTTAAGATTTAATATAAAATGCATTTGTAAAAAGCTTAAAATTATTCCAAGCTGTTTGTAAAAGATAAACATGAAGATATTCGTATTGGCGAACGATAAAAAAGAGATAAAATTTGAGAAAAGAGATAAAATTCAAAGCCAAATAGATTGAAACTAGCCTGCAGATAGAAACACACACCTAATATGACCTTCATCGCACTAACAAATGCTAACAATTGTCAGAATCAGAGAAAGGGGTGGTCCACCCTCACCCCCACCCGCCTCATCGGAATCTTCCAACGTGCATTTGAGAAACAGGTAAAGAAAACAAGAAAAGAGAATCAAAAGCGGCATTCCCACACACTGAATCCTATTTGTGGATGAGAGAAAAAAAAAGAAAGAAAGAAGCGCAGAAGAACAGAAGCTCAATCGTTTCTGTTTCGTCCAGTGCCCTAAATAACACAGAATTCGCCCTTTAACATTTCAACGATTTGATTACGCTGACTGTGCTTTCACGTTCTCTCTGCTTCTTTGACACAGTAATGAAATATCGCCGTCATGTAGACAGCCGTCTCCATGCTTGGTAAACCTCTTAGTTTATGTTGCACTGCTTGCCTTCATACGCACTGTAATCCGTTCACGTGTATATGTACCTAAACTGTAAACTATGTATCATTAACACGTTACATATGATACATCTCTCGTCAACAATACTATTGTTAGCAGTTTGCGTTATTATCATCCTCATTATTGTCATTACATCGCCATTATGTCGTCATCGTTATAGTACTTATATTACTTTTTTCGCGGTATTTGTTTTATTATTATTATTGACATATTAGTATTACTAATATTATGTTAGTATGATACTCATACTATTTTTAATAATAATGTATTAACACATTAATATTAATATTTTGATTTTTTAATATCAGTAATATTATGTTTATTTCATTAATTTATTGACTCGGATGAATAAATCCAAATATGTTTAATGCCTATTCGAGTCCAAACATCAGATGTAGTTGTGTGTATCAAACCTTTATTATATTAGTATATATATAGTATTTTGCCTACTATATATATATAGTAGTTAGGTTATATTGAAAAGGATCCGAACCAAGGATCGAAACGTATGATTATACTAATATAATAAAGGTTTTGATACACAACTACATTTGGATTATGTTTATTACTAGTTATTTTTTTAATTTTTATTTTTTTGTATGATTATTATTGAGCCGAAGAAAGATTGGATGTATGTATCGGTATTTAAGTTTCGTAGCGCCTGTACATAACGTTGTACAAAAAAGTGAACCAAACTTACGAATTAATCATATGTATACATTGATTATGTTTATTTTTCAAAATGTATAATTCGTAATTTATAATTTATACAAAGCCGATCAAATATTACACATATGTGTATATTCATAAAAAACCTATTTAGGAGTAAACTGTATATATTTAAATAACCAATCTATACATATTAGTTAAGTCCCGTTTTATACATCTATCCTTAAAAATTTAGTAAATAAATTATATATATCAATTGAATTATCATTTTAGATTTTTTCGCAGATATTCTAGAATTTAAATTTATGAACTTTGATTGATTTATTCTTTCTCCCTATATAATAATCAACGTGACAATAATTTTACATATTTAAGATGCCTTTTTGCAATTTATATATACGTATGTAATATCTAAACATTTGTATATGTATATGTCTCTCTTCTTTATGTAAAGTCAGGAAACAATACAGTTACGTTTTACAGCCAATAATACATACTGATAGTATAATCTACCTAGAAGTAAAACGTAATTTCGATCAATTTAAGAATATATCATTAATAATGAAACGATATTCTACATATAGTATTTTGTAACCCGATATCCTATGAAATAACGAAGATATTAGTAACTTCAACATCGACGAAACGTCGAGCGGTCTGCGGCCGAACTATCATCTTCTTTATTTCATTTTTAGCTTCTTTGTCATTAACTTGTGGCGTAGTCGATAGCAAATGAGCAAAGCATCCAAAACATACATTTGAATTATGCGAATGTGAATGTATTTGGATAGCGAAAGAATTTAAAAAATCCTGAAATCTCGTGTACCTACCCTAACTTTTTCGTACTCCTCCCCGCTGTGAACGTTATTCATTCGCGCACAAAGAGATATTTCTTATCTTATTGTTTTTGACAGGGGCACAAATCCACTGGCACCAGATGCAGTGGACCTAACGCAATTGAATTCCGTCAGCGAGTGGCTAGCTTCCATCAAGATGTCACGATACGCAGAGAGTTTTGAGCGGGCGGGCGTGACGACGTTGGAGGCAGCAGCGCGCGTCACCGTCCAGGAGCTCACGGCCCTCGGCATAACGCTCGTAGGACATCAGAAGAAGATCATGAATAGCGTGACGGCATTGCGGGCGCAAATGTCCGCCACTTCACAGGGTTTCCTCGTGTAACCATAACCGCGACCTCAAATCCCGCGAACGGATCGTACGTAGAAATCGGCTGATCGGCACGGAACATCGCTATCCCTATGGATCTCACGAATTCGAGGCGCCCCGACGCGTCGCCTCCGCGAGAAGCGAGAAGACGATCCTCCCATGTATCATCTAGGACTCGTGATTACCTAGTCAGAGCGACGATGTCCTCGAGAGAATATCTCTTCGCGCGCAAATAGATCCGTTAAACTAATTGGGGGTTGATTCGAGGCATAGCTTTCATGATACCTCCGAAGCGATACGCTAAAATCGTCTCACTTTAACCGAGAGATTCAAAGCATTCGTGCTGCAGACATTCCGCGTTAGCGAGAGTCGAAAGGAAATCCATTCTTCGCATTTACGACTCTTCTCAAAGAGAGGGAGTACGAGGACCACGCATTCGCCATCTCGCATATAAAGTGCAACGACTTTTACTCAACATGTAGAACGATACACCTATTGCGAAACTTCCGCGATTTGTAAGTGTCAAAGAAATTTAACGCCTTACGGGAACGGATCATTCACGAAACTCGTTTCAGGATGTCTTGAAAGATCACCGTGAAAGAGTCTTAATGGGATCAATGTAACATACTCTCCCACGAACAACGAGCGCCAATACTCTTTCGTTTCCTAGGCCGTTTCCGTGATCGATCTATCTAAAGATCAGACTGACAACGGAAATAAACGAGCCATGTAATCACTGCCGCGAAACCTTTCGTCACTTATGAATGTTCTCCTTTTAGTTTAAAGTACTTGTGTAACAACTGTTAAATTGTATACACTATATATTTTTTTTCGGAGACTTTCATTGAGATTTACAGCCGAATTCTTTTTTTTTTACTATTCTATTATCGCGCTTGTTAGGTTTTGTAACATTTTGTACTGAATGGCAGCTCATTTTAGTACGTATGCATCTGCGATATAGAACATTGAACGGCGAACATATCGGCCTAAATGTCGTTCGAATATGTCTGTTCCTGGCCTCTTTTCTTAAATATACTAAAGTTACGTGTTTGTCTATAACGATCGACATAGCAATACACATCTGACAAGGAAAACCGACGATTAGAGAAATAGAGGACCGTATCACGAGGGAACTGTACCAAAAATCGGATCGTAATAGTTTCCGAAATCGGTAGCGTGACAACAGTGTAGGTTCATTATTTCGTGTAGTGAATGTAGCGAGTGCATTACACTATTACGCGTATGTCGCCTCGGTAATGTACACGATCGAGAACAAGGGCGAATGTTTACTCTTTACGTCAAATTACAACTTTATGCCTTTGCATTACCTATATGGAAACGTCGTACACGCACGGCCTATATGTAGGTATACCTTTCGATTATAATGACAAACGACGAAACGAACGAAGCGAATATGTGCCAACGCGAGTGTGCAAGAGTTATTTTAGCGCGAGACTGCGTGACACGGGATAAACGAATGGAAAATGAGCGGATGCGTGAATGTGAGTGTGAATGAAATTGCATCGGTGAGTGACGAGAATCTACCGCGACCCATTTTTCGCGCTATATTCATATGTACACGAGCGTGCGATCACGAAATCATTCTATATATACATATACATATAAATAGATATTGTGTTATAAATACGACACTGTGAAAAGGGACGAACGGGAGTAAAACTCTCTATCGATAGGAAAAAAGCACAAGAGACATCCGTTCGCACCGGAAAGCAAAGGAGGACAATAGGG